TGTTAAGATACATGTTAATGTTACATACATACATGTTACATGTTAAGATAGAAATAGTATCAAATGAAAACTATTCAATTTTTGCAATTAATTTAAGGAAATATGGTCAGTTTGTCTTCTATTAGTCTAAGCCTATAGCAGCATAACAAGCCAACCCCAAATATATGATATTTCAAAAAGAAAAGTATTTTGCCCAGTCTTAAAACTGGATGCAGTGTCAGCCTTATGGACAGTATCTGGAAGTTGGTTCCACAAGAGAGGAGCCTGATAACTGAAAGATCTTCCTCCCATTCTGTTTTTGGAAACTCTAGGAACCACAAGTAAGCATGCAATTTGAAAGTGAAGTGCTCTGTTAGAAAAATATGGAACAATAAGATCTCAAATATAAGATGGAGCTAGGTTCTTGAGGGCTTTGGAGGTTAGAAGTAGGATTTTGAATTCAATTCTGGACTTGACAGGGAGCCAGAGGAGAGAAGCTAAAACTGGAGAGATATGATCTCTCCTACTAACTCCAGTTATGGTAATGTGTTTAATGTGAAGGTTAAAATACATTCATCCATCCATTATCTTTTACCCGCTTATTCCTTTTTGGGGCATGGGCGTCACTGGTGTCCATGTCCAGTCATCACTGTGCGAGAGGTGGGGTACACCCTGGACAGGTCGCAAGTTCATCACAGGGCCATATAGAGACAAACGAGACAAACAACCATTCACTCTCTCACTCACACCTAGGGACAATTTAGAGTTACCAATTTGCCTAACATGCATGTTTTTGGTTTGTGTGATGAAACTGGAGTACCCGGGGAAAACCCACGCATGCACGGAGAGAACATGCAAACGCCACCCAGAAAAGACCCCAGACCGGGATTTGAACCAGGGCAACCTGCTCGCTGAGGCAGCAGCTCTACCAGTTGCGCCACCATTCTGCCCTGGTTAAAAGACATGTCCTGATCAAAAATGACATAGAGAATTTTAACATTAGAGCTGGAGGCCAGATTAATGCCCTCCAAGGATGGCGAAAGTCTACAAAAATTATTCCTAAGATGCTCAAGTCCAAAAACCAAAACCTCAGTTTTGTCTGTATTCAAAAGCAGAAAATGAAGGGTCATCCAGGTTATTATGTCTTTAAGACATGCTTGTAGTCTAAGTAAGTGATTGGATTCATTGGGTTTCATGGACAAATATAATTGTGTATCATCAGCATAACAATGAAAATTTATCCCATGCTGTTTAATAACTTTACCTAATGGAAGCATATATAAGGTGAAGTGTACTGTTCCAAGCACTGAACCCTGAGGAACTCCATGACTAACTTTGATGTATGAAGAAGATTAATTATTTACATTTACAATTTGGAATCTATCAGATAGATATGATTTAATCCAATTTAGAGCTGTTCCTGTAATCCCAATATCATATTCAAGTCTCTGTATTAGAATATTGTGATCAACTGTATCAAATGCAGCACTGAAGTCTAATAGGACAAGTACAGACACAAGTCCATTGTCAGAGTCCATGAGAATATCATTACTAACTTTCACCAGTGCTGTTTCTGCGCTATAGTGAGCACTAAACCCTCACTGACACTCCTCAAACAGATTATTTCTTTGTATATTATCACGCAACTGACCTGCAATTTTCTCTAGAATGTTTGACATGAGTTTTCTCCGGGTACTCCGGTTTCCTCCCACAGACCAAAAACATGCATGTTAGGCTGATTGGTAACTTTAAATTGTCCCTAGGTGTGAGTGGGAGAGTGAATGGTTGTTTGTCTCGTTTGTCTCTATGTGGCCCTGTGATGGACTGGAGACCTGTCCAGGGTGTACCCCTCCCCTTGCACAGTGATTGCTGGACATGGGCACCGGCGACCCCCGTGACCCAAAATGGAATAAACGGGTAAAGATAATAGATTGATGGATGTTTGACATGAAAGTTAGATTGGATATATTGTAGGTCTATAATAGGCTAGGATTCCTGAGTCAATGTAATGTTTCTTAAGTAAAGGTTTAATTACAGCAATCTTAAAATGCTGTAGTACATACCCATTCATTAGAAACAAATTAAGCAGATCCAAGATCAGATGCAAGAATGTTATTCTTAATCATATTAGCTAAGTATTGTATAATTTATTGATAATTGGAATCTTTAATTTAGTAAAAAATATATTTTCACATGACAGCATGGCAAAAACACTTTTCACCAGTTGGTGATTGATGGCTGTAGGCAGGAAGGATCTCCCTGACCTATGCATTTTCTAAACCCTCAAAGACACAATGAAGTTCTTTCTGACCCTCTCTGTACTTTCATATAGCATTCTTCAGGCAAAGATGGCATCCGTGGTGCTCTTTCTCGAACCATACAGCTGTTCACAAATAGTCCGAGTCTAGCTTCCAAAACGCTCTTCCAGATCTTCCTCCTGTGACTCATCAACTTTTCTCCAGTTGGGACTCGCTGTACATCACGATTTTTCTTAAAAAATGGCACCAGCACACTTCTCATCCACTCTTTGGGCATTTTCTCACTCTCAAAAATGCCAGAGCATAATTTATTCAAAAACCTAATTGCCATCTCTCGTAGACATTTCCATACTTCCGATGGTATATCAGTTCCAACTGTCTTCCTTTTTTTCATCCTCTTCAAGATTTCTGAACTTTATCCTCACTAATCGTTCCCATTTCCTGGTCCATAGTTTACATTACCTGTACCTTGTTTTACTTGCTAGTCTCTTAATCCATTAGCTCTGCAAAGTACTCCTTCCATATTCCCATTACATTCTCCTCGCTTGTTAGAACATTACTATTGCTACCTTTACTAAGCCTAACCTGCTGCACATCCTTTCTAGCCTGGTCCTTCTGTCTCACCTGTTAATACAAGTCCTTCTCTCACTCCTTTGTGCCCAACCTAGGGCACAAGTCCTCATTCACCTTCTGTTTTGCCTTTGCTACCTCCATCTTTGCCCTACTTTGCATCTCCTTATATTAAATGGACTGTACTTGTATAGCACCTTTCTATCTAATCAAGATACTCAAAGTGCTTTACTCTACAACCTGTGCCCTCATTATTACCCATCCCCACAACAATCTACTAGATCTCTACAAAGCTAATCTTAATCTGTAGGTTTATCAGTGCTTTAGATCACATTCATTCACCAATGGGCTGCTCTCTTCAGTCCTCTCACTCTCCCATTTATTCATGGCTAACCTCTTCCTCTGGATAACTTCCAGCACTTTACTTTTCCACTACCAAGTTTCGTGATCATCTTTTCTCTGTGCAGATGACACACCAAGTACCTTCCTACCTGTCTCTCTAATTGCTGTTGCTGTAGTAGCCCAATCATTTGGAAGACATTTCTTATCACCCAAAGCCTTTCAACAGCTTCTCTCTGAACTCTTCTCAAATTCTTTCTGTCACAACTTCCACCATTTGGTCTTATTCTCTGACTTTAATCTTTTATTCTCCTTCAACACAACCATCATCTTACACAATATCATCCAATGCTGTCTGGCCACGCTCTCTCCTGCCACCACCTTACAGTCCCCAATCTCTCTCATAATACCTCTTCTCCACAGAAGGTAGTTTTATTGTGTACTCCTGCCTTAACTCTCATAGGAGACCCTATGTTCATTTGTTTTGGAAATAGGTGATGACTACAGCCATTTCTATTCTCTCTGCAAAATCCACCACCATCTGTCTTACCTGGTTCCTTTCCTTGATACAAAACCTGCTCATAACTCCTTTATCTTCTCTCTTTCCTTCATCAATAGGTCTATTCAGGTCTGTTTCGATCACCACTCTCTCCTCCCTAGGAATACTCTCTATCCCGTTGTTTAGATAAGATTAGATAAGATTAGATCTTTATTGATCCTGCAGGGAATTGTTGTGCCAGGGTTTCAGTACAAATGAACATGCACAAGGAATCACAAAAGATATAAAAATAATAGAATGTAAAAATAACAGGTATAAAAATACCGACAATTAGGTCCAAAACAGGTCAGATGCAGACAGAAACAGTAGTGTTTTTTTTTTAGTACAGGATTAAATTTATTGTCCTATGTGGAGGAAGGGAGAGGAATTGAAAAGCTTGACAGCCACAGGGAGGAAGGACTTCCTGTGGCATTCTGTGGAGCACCTCTGTGGTCTCAGTCTATGACTGAAGGTGCTGGGATAAGAGTCCAGTGTGGCTTTTAGGGTTTTAGGGGGTGATACTTGTTCAGGATCTGGGGCAGCTTCCTCATCATGTTCTGCTCAGACACCTCTGCCAGAGACTGCATTTCCACTCCCAAAACAGAGCCAGCTCTCTTGATGAGCTTATTGAGTATGGTGGCATCAGCATCCTTCACCCTGCTGCCTCACCACACCACAGCATAGAAGATGATGCTGGAGCCCACTGAGACATCTGCAAAACATCTGCAGCATGGTCCTCCAGAATTTCTCCAGAATATCTAGAGATTCTCCAGAAGATCTTCTGGTCATCTAGAAGATTCTTCCAGAATGTCTCTTTCTCCTCTACCTGAATTCCAATCTGTGGAGCATATAACCATTGGTAACATTCAACATTAGACCTTCTGCAGTACTTTTACCTTTAGACACATCACCCCATCAGACTATTTTACCTCTAGTATGTTCCTTGCAAACTCCTCCTTCAGGACCATCCCTACTCCATTTCTTTATCTATCCACACCATGGTAAACTAGCTTAAATGCTGACCATTGTTGGAAGCCCTGCTGCCCTTCCAGTCTCTTGCACAAATAAAATGTCTACATGGCTTTCTGCATCATATCTGCCAGTTCTCTACAATTACGTGTCAGTAACTACATTTAGATTTGCTACCCTCAGTTCTACACTCTTGATTTTTATCTTCTCCCTCTGTCTCCTACAAAGTTGCTATCCTTGTGGCCTTTGACTAAACGTTCAATAAATGAAGGTCTGTAAAAGTTAAATATTACACAAGACTGCTTATACATGTAGCTGACTCAGAGTAGCTGTGATAATCAAGAGCAATGTCTGCACTGTTTTATTCCTCACTGCTCGTGTCCAGTGCTCACAGTGTCAGATGTTTGGGTTGGATCAAACCCTACCAGACTTGGAAACAACGCTGCACACGTTTGCTGCAGCAATGTCGGTAAGTTGTTACATTTTTCTAAAGTAAACAAGTGTGTCACAAGTAGCTTAGTCGTTGGTTTTTTTTTTAATACATTATTGGCTGTTATTATCCCATTATGACCAGAAAGGTTGTTAGGCAGTGATGTGCATAAAATAGGAAAGGGTCATTGCAGTCCATCATCTGGGACACCAACTTTACCATAACACCCATTAGCTTACATTAGTCAGCTCAAGCTTTGTTTCTTCTTGACTTCTAAAGTTGATAATCCTGACATATTGTTCTTGTCTGATTCTTTTTATACCCTAAAGTTTACTTTTTAAAAAGCTTTGATGTGCTATAAAACATCAAAATATGAGTGAGCTTAAACACTTATATAATTGTAGGAACTGATTATTATAAAATGACAAGTCATGTGCTGCGTTCACCCTCTGAATACTGTCTTCTATTCCAGGTCTCTTCATGTGGACAACCCCCCTCAACAACCATCAATCTCAACAAGCTATGTCCATGGTACCTCCTCTGTTTCTTTGTTGCCCCTTACTGTGGGACAGAGCCTGGATGCTACAGTCCAACGCTGTCCTGACCGTGAAGCTGTGGTCTTTCTGCAAGATGGCATCCGCAAAACCTTTGCAGAGTTTCAGCAGGATGTGAGTGTCAGATGAGATGCTTTGAACATTTATCCTTTTGGTGTCTTGACAAAATGAGCTTTTGTATGTGCTAAAGCATTGCTTAAAATTTTGTTTTGTTCAGGTTGACAAAGCAGCTGCAGGTTTGCTTGCTCTTGGCTTGAAGCGAGGTGATCGACTGGGAGTTTGGAGCCCAAACATCTATGAATGGATCCTTTTTCAGTTTGCTTCAGCCAAGGCTGGAATTATACTGGTCAGTGCATGAAATCCCAAAATACTTCAATTTACAACATTGTAGCCATGTTTTACCAAATCATTAAGTCGTCAAGTGCAAGTCAGACGTACACTGAACTTTTAACAGCATGGGAAAGTGTTACTAATTTGTGTTTTTCAGATCATCATTATCCAGATGCATGTGGCACAATTTAACTAATGCAGGCATGTCATATATTGTTTATGTCATGGCATGTGGAGAATAAAATCTCTAGCAAATAGGTAAGATTTAAAACTGTTTCTAACCTTGCAGGTGTCACTGAACCCAGCCTATCAAGTGGAAGAAGTGATCTTTACTCTACAAAAGGTAACTGTTCTCATTCCCCTGCATACATATCAACATGACAGTATGTTGTAAAAACAAATACAAACTAAAAGAGGTAAAAGCACACACTTTAATTACTGATTACATGTAACAATGCTGTTTTTTTTGTGTCTAGGTTCAGTGTAAAGCTGTGTTGTGTCCCACCAGCTTTAAAACTCAAAACTTTTGTGAGATGCTGAGAGAGATCTGCCCAGGAATCGACACCATGCCAATTGGCATGATCAAAAGCTCCAGGTCTGACAGTGTCAGATGTCAGATTTAGTAAATGTCATTCATTCACTGGATTAAAAACATTTATATTTTTTAAACTTTATAACACAACCAGTTGTGACTGCAGAATAATGATCTGTTTTGGGTCTGCCAGGGTGCCAGATTTGCGGATGATAATTGTGACTGACAGCAGGCAGCCAGGGATGCTTCATGTGGAGGATGTGATGCAAGCAGGGGAGAGTCCACACTTCAAACAGCTGATGGAGCTTCAGAGCAGGCTGGCTTTTGATGACGCCATCAACATTCAGTTCACATCTGTAAGTTTATTGTTGAACCTTTTGCATGCAATGAACATGTTTGTACAAAGTACATAGATTGATTAATATTGTTTCAGACAATGACTTGTGTCATTGGCTTTAGGGTACAACTGGGAAACCAAAGGGAGCCACTCTTTCGCACCACAACATTGTGAATAATGCATACTTCCTGGGTCTGCGGATGGGTTATGGATGGAGGGTAGGTCCATATCTGTTTCCAGAACCTGAAAAGAAAAAAAAAAGATTTGTATTGTCTAATTTTTCTCATTCACTGTCAGTCTCAGGTGCGAGTGTGTGTTCCTGTACCCCTGCACCACTGTTTCGGCTCTGTGGTTGCAGCAATGAGTATGGCGGTTCATGGAATCACATTAGTTTTTCCATCTTCTGGCTACAACAGCCATGCCAATATACAAGCTATCCAGACTGAAAGGTATGGTCCCCATCATGATTATGGAATCCAACTTTATCATAATAACCACTTTCATTATCTGCTGTTTAAATCTTTCTCTCAACCAAGGTGCAATTTTGTCTATGGCACTCCTACCATGTTCACTGACTTGCTGAGCCAAGATATACACAAATATGACTTGTCATCACTTGAAGCAGGTAAGTGATCTGAAGACAAGATTGTTGTTTTTTTACATTTGGTATGAAGTGTTGCTCTGATTTAGGTCTCATGGGGGGTTCTCCTTGTCCTCCTGAGGTTTTGAGGAAGCTAAGAACAGAAATGAACATGAAAGAGATAACTGTGAGCAGAAAACAAACTCTATATTTTCAAATGACACTAAGAGAAGCTTCAAGGATACATACTTTGTGCACATCATCCTTTAACAGGTTGCTTATGGAGCCACTGAGAATAGCCCTGTTTCATTTCTGGGATTCCCACAAGACAATGAGGAGCTAAAGCTGAATACAGTCGGGTGTGTCATGGCTCACACTGAGGTGTGCATTCTTTTTTACATAAATCTGTAAAATGTCACTGCAATCAGGTGACCTGATGTGTGTCCTAACTTCAGGCCAAGGTGGTGGACCCTGTTACAGAGGAGATTGTGCCTTTAGGAGCTACTGGGGAGCTAATGATCAGAGGCAGCAGTGTGATGCATGGATACTGGGACAATCCTGAGAAAACCAGAGAGGTGATCTCTGACAGTCGCTGGTACAGAACTGGGTAAGATGGATTTTTACCATTTACTGCAGAGAGCTGTGTTTCTGCACTGAATGTGAAGTTGAATAAAACTCTCACTTACGTTGTTTTCCCGAATGAACCACACTCCACAGCAAAAGATTTTCAACTGGCATTTTACTTGCAAGGTCAGATTTTTAGGACAGGTTACATAAATATACATAAAATGAACACACATGAAAACCAGTAAAAATAATCTGCCTTGAGCTGCATTATTCACTCAAATTTTTTTTTTTACCCCTATACATTCAGCTGAAATGCTCAGGAGGTGTCTTTGGAGCAAGCTACAGCCTTCTCACCCAGTGCTCTCCATTAAATCAAACATGTAGTTCATGTGCAGAGATAAGACAGTGACTTGGGAGATAGTTTTGATTACTGTAATAAAAACATCCACAACCCTTGACCAAAAATTCAGAAACTTGTCAGTACCACAGGGGTCAGTATTCCTTGCAGAAACATGCTGTATTTACAATTTTGATGGATTCAGTGACACAGCAAGCCTGAACAGTCTGGGATACTGCCGCATTGAGGGACGTATAAAGGACATGATCATTCGTGGAGGGGAAAACATTTACCCTGCTGAGATTGAGCAGTTTCTCCACAAGCATCCAAATGTTCTGGAAGCTCAAGTGAGATTTATGAACAACATGCATACTTTTCTATTATTGAAAACATTCCACTATTTTAAATATAAAGCTGGTATCATAGGTCCTAATGACCTGCCTCTGTTTGCAGGTGGTTGGAGTTAAAGATGCGAGGCTTGGGGAGCAGGTGTGTGCCTGCCTCAGGCTCAAGCAGGGGCAAACCTCCAGTGCAGAGGAGATAAGAAGCTTCTGCAAAGGAAAAGTGAGAACAGATGATGTTTAAACATACAAATAGTCCAACATATTCCAAATCAGATCACAGGCCAGTCGTTCATGAACTGTTTTATTTTTTTTCTAGATTTCCCATTTCAAGATTCCACACTATGTGATGTTTGTTGACAGCTACCCACTGACTTCCTCAGGAAAGGTAACAGCTTTGTTCCAATTGCAAGATTACTGCTAAAAACAACCGTTCGTCCAGTGGTTGATCACTAAACATATATTTTTTCTAGATCAAGAAGAATCAGTTAAAGGAGGAAATGGAGAAGAAATTAGGTCTTTAAGGTTTTAGATCCCCTTGGAAGCTGTTAGGGAACAATGTTAGGTAATAAACAAAGAATTTGGATCCGCAACTAAACACTTCTAGTAATGCAGACAATATCATCTTGTGCTGATAATCATTGCTGAATTGATGTATTAATCTTTGTTGGAACAAAACCTTGGAATTAATTTGTACTTACCCACTGTAACACCTACATCATTTTTTTGTGTGTGTGTGTGTCTTATATAAAACCATTTTTGAACCAATTGTACCATCTTAGAGTAAATGAGCAATAGTTATAAACACAAATAGGTGCACCAAAGCAATGTTTTCATATTAATATTTTTACATTTGTTATAATGTAATAAAAGCTGTTTTTCAACAATTTTGAATATATCAATCAATGAATTAAAACTTTATTTCAGACACATGCATGTTCCATAGTAAACAAAAACAGGCCAAAAAAATAAATAAATACAATAACAACAAAAAACACAATAAAAATAGAATGTTTATCCATTGTCATATAAATTAAGGTTCCAGTGATTCCACAGACTAGAAAAGAACCTAACCGAGCTTTGTATTGGGTTGGTCAGAGTATAAATGATGCTATTTACAGAGTCTGTTAGCCTACACATACATCTGTACATAAGGTTTTGAAGCACAGCAGCACAAGTTGGTACGTTGGCATTTACAAACATCTGACTGGCACTACTCCATCACAGCACCTTAAGCAGCATCCTCAAGCCATTATTGTACGCCACCTGAAGTTTATGCTTACTGCTTTTTCTGTAATGCCGCCTCACATTGGAGTACAATATGCTTTAAAGAATACAGTTTTTACAGATACTGATCACAAAGAGAACTTCCGAAGAAGAATATTAGCTTGTACATATTGCATACAACGCTGCCTGTAAATGTCCCTATCATCAGACATGTCAAAGATAATAATACTACTTATATAATTGACGAGAACTACAAATTGTCAGTAAAAGCTTGAGAAAACTAAAAGTTTTGTGCCTTCTTTAAAGTAACATTCTCTTCTGCTCAGTGCCCTGAGATGACTTATGTTGTGTTATATAACTAAACTGAATTGAATTTAACTACAGTGTTGAAATACCAATAGCCATACCAATAATTTACTTTAAAATTTTCTGACAATTTACCATCATAATGCTATGCTTATAACATTATATGATAGTAAAACTCTGTATGGCAACACATGCCATACAGAATATGAAATAAATTGGACTTTATTGCCAGGTGTTGATATGTACAGTGAAATAAGCAAAATTATCTCTTCTATAATTTTTATTGAACAAACTGGCTGTAGGGCTCACTTCAGTAATTTGCTCCTATATGTAATGTAATCTAATATAAATAATAATAATAATAACAATGAATACTTACCACCTCTAACAATGAAAGCTACCGCCTCTCAACGAAACGGTCGCCGAATCAAATCCAGCCAAGAACCTTTATGGGTGGAGTTTGCATGTTCTCTCCGTGCATGCGTGGGTTTTCTCCGGGTACTCGGGTTTCCTCCCAAAGACCAAAAACATGCATGCTAGGCTGACTGATAATTCTAAATTGTACCTAGATGAGAGTGAGAGAGTGAATAGTTGTTTGTCTCGTTTGTCTCTTTGCGACCCTGCGATGTACTTGCAACCTGTCCAGTGGGTACCCTGCCTCTTGCAAAGTGACTGCTGGACATGGACACCAGTGACCCCCACAACCCTAAAAGGAAGAAGCAGGTAAAGTTAATGGATGGATGGATGGTTGAATACTTACTTTTGTTTAATACCTCAGACTAAGAAGATGTGATAAATGAGCGTTTAAAAATGCGAAAGTGGTTGCAGTAAGGGAAGTTATAGCTGCAGACATCATCTTCATTATATTAAATAAAGTCAGTATAAATACATGTCCAGTTCTGGACATAATTTTTTTGAACATCCCATAAATTTGTTTCTTTGTAGCGTGTCTTTTCGTTAGTGCAAAAATAAGCTGTTTTTGTCCAAATTTTTGTTCTTCATAGCCCTAATCAATTCAATTCAGTTTATTTATATAGTGCCAAGCCACAACAGAAGTCATCTCAGAGAACTGAACAGTAACATACACACACACACACACACATATCTATATCTATATCTATATCTATATCTATATCTATATCTATATC